AAAAAAATTGAACTAGAAACAAATAATGTGGTGATTTTATTTTACGATTGCATCGGTAGTTCAGCGATAAAAATAATCACCAGCCACGCCTCACGTGGTCTGGGATACTATCTCCGGCCGACTCACTGACTGACTGGCAAGTCTCGCCCAGCGGGTTGTAAGCTCGGTAAGGAGGCAAGTAACTTCTCTCTGTAAAAATGAAAAAAAATACTAGTGCTACTGAGATTTCAGAACTCAAACCTTGTGGCTGCGAATGTCCCATTTGCAGCGGAATGTTGTGCTGTGAGTCACCTTTGTTGTATCTGATCAAGATGACATATCTCATGAATATAAATTATTCTATCGGTCCTATTTTCCACATTTTTCTACGCACTTTGGATTTGAGAAATACAAACATGCTGTCCGAGTTTTTCATCTCATTTATGTTCTAAATTATTATTGTATGTTTATATTCCTGTCTACGGTTGACTTTAAGCCACACGTTTATATTCATTCCCTAATATTTTGTAAGTGATCTAGACATTTGACCTGCATAGTAAGTTGGGCATTCAAGTTTGTTTCATGTTTGACCACAGAGTGATATCACAGTTAGAAAGAAATCATCGGCAACCACGAAGTACTGGACAGCTGTTTCATCGTAGTTTGGGACTCTTCAATAGTATCCTAATCACCCTGGGGTCTAAATCCCCCAGATTATTGGATTTTGAAGTGCTGATGTTGTCCTAGTTTTTCCTCTCACTAGTGTTCAGTTTAGCAGCTAGAAAGTTGTACATGAACCATTTCTTCATTTTATTGTTCTTTTGTGTTCCTGTATTAGTTAATCTCTTTAAGATAAGAAATATTTGTAGTGCTGACTGGTTTGATGCAGTGCTTTCCTTTCCTAAAATCAACGCTTGCAGAAAACGGTTGCCTGGACCGACTGATGACAGAGACACAACAGATAAGCAACCCAAACTGGTTACTAAATCAGTTCCGAAGAAAAATACTTTCATGAATTCATGCAATTCAAAGGTTATTTGGCCTCAGATATACTTGAAAATCATCTCCCTAGATCATTTTGTAAATTGTTCTTTGAAGGGAAACAATAAATGACCTTGATCAGTCCTAAATTGTTGTTCTCCGTTTGTGTGTCTGGTCGCCTCCATGTGGATCTCTCAGTTCACATGCTCTTGTGGAGGAAGGAAAATTAGCTGTAGCCGGAGGTTACTTTTCACACGGATAGAGGTAAACACTTTCCAGCATGGTTATACAAGGGTAGAAGGAAGGCTGTGAGAAACTCTGTCCTGGGATACGTGAATGACTTCTGTCATTCCGCCAACCGTGATAATGATTTTAAGATCACCCATGGAACTCTTGGAAAGTTGCCGCGTTTTCTTCGTTCCAAATGTCTAAAAGTAACTGTCCAGTACTTCTTGTTGGTTCGCAATGGTTCCCTAAATGATATCAGTCCAAAGTCAAACTTTAGACAAATCAAATTCTTACTCCAGCTGTTGGTGTGATCACTGGTGGCAGTTTTGATCGAAGTATTACCAAAATCAAGGAAACAACAACTTGTAATTCTATGTAAACAACCACTGATATCTTCCACAATACACTTTTCACAGATATTATGAAATATACTCATTGTCTCTTGAGTTCCATTTCAGGTCTCTATAGACATATCCTTATTAGAGACAGGCTCCAATGAATCTAAGTGAAGTGCTTTTATTTTCATATTTTCGTAATCATTGTTCCGAATAGTTTACTGATTCCACACACAAAAGTGCATGTTCTAGACTGCAGACTCCAAAGGACTACTTCTTGTAGGTGGTCACACACAGTCTGTTTGGAATTGTGTCTGTACTAAAATCCTGTCATCATGGACAGACCACCGCAAGGTAAATATGAGATGTACAATTTTCCGGGTCTACCCATTCTAACTCGCCCACTCCTCTCTAGAGCGGGAAGAGAGAGAGGAACGCCTTACTGTTGTTACAGCCGCCTATTCGACATTAGTATGACTTCGCTCACGGATCCCAAACATAGTGTAAACTACTTACACTATAGTGGCAAGTGCTTGTAGTCTAGTCGTTATCCGAATAATGCTCAGGACCTAATCCCATATTAACTAACACTGCTTCTTATGGTAGGTGGTGGCTCGGTATGCGTAACACGTGCCTTAGCTATTTCAATCCATTTAGCTTCTAACCTCAACGTTACTCTTACCTTGTTTTACCACTAAACTCATAAGATAGGGTGCAAACAGACTGCGGGGAAAATCACCACTGGTCGTCATCACTTTTAGATCTTACACGGCTGAGTGAGTTCAGGTACAATGTGTTTGCTAAGTGTGTTATACATTCTTGGCACTCCTTTCATGATTAAGCACTGGCACGGCACTTTTCGGTCGATAGAGTTCAAATACTGCCCTCAGGTCAAGAAATATAGACGCCAGTAATTAGTATACCTATACTTCAGTATCTATTGACTGTTGAAAATATCATCTTCCTAGTACAAGAGCTTGATTGATTGATTTTCCCGCAGTTTTTTTCTCTCGAGCACCGTTTACTTTTTATGATTGAAAACACGAACCTGGTGCACACTATGTGCAGCATGAGATGTACCACAGGAAACCTCAGTTTATATGACATCTGGGATACTACTTGGTGAGCTCAGGTGGTTATCTTTAGGCACCACTCCCCGTCCAGAGCCTTTGTATTGAAGTCTTATCCACAAGGGAGTGGAGCACAAAGTTTCTGTGGTCACCAAAACATGTTCCTACACCTTTCAATCCTTTTGCATTCTAGAGTCCTTGTACACAGTATAGGTTTAGAATCAGGGTTTCCCACCCCACCCCTACTTATCCCGTGGTAGACCCTTGTATATCCAATAACCAGTTCAGTTGTAAGCACCAGAGGTTTGCTTTGGCCCTTTCACTTTTGTGAGAAACATTCCCACTGTGGGGCGTGGAGGCCAGTGAAGGGGATTTGCCTGTCAGAAGCTATGAATACATCCACACATAACAGAATTTTGAAAGGTAGTTTATAGTGACAGGTCATTTATTGGGGCTTGCCAATATCCACTCAGTCACGTGAGCACCACTTAGTCTAAACCATGTATTATTTCATATTGAGTTAATGTGTGTGTGTGTGTGTGTGTGTGAGTTAAACCCTTTTCCTTTTATCCTGTACTATTCATTTCCGTGTATACACTTTCTGTCATTAGATGTTCAAGGTATCCTGCAACACTTATAACCTCACAAAAGTTGAAACGTGATAAACAAGCACCTGGTAAATCATCCTCTTATCCACAGCCTATGCTTATTGATACAGACGGGGAGAATAATATTAATAATAACAACAAGGATTTTATTGACGGTGATGATGATGAGTGTTCATTAAATGGTCAAAATTCATCAATGAATCCTAACAATAATAATAATAATCATAAACCTAAAGATGATTTAATTACATTTAAAAATTATCTAAATTTTTCTCGTTCAGTCTCATCTATTCTAGCACATCAAGTGAGTTGTGAGTGAATAACTTTCCTTATGCCCCCTTTGCATAACCCATCACATCTATTATTATGTATTATTATTATTACTCCTGCTACTACTACTACTATTCTCTTGGGCTCCAAGTGGAACATATAGCTTCAAAAGCACGTGTTGCTGATTTTGTCGTGTCCTGTGTAGGCCATTTTAACTGTCTCCACGATTGTCGATAAGCTTTCATCCCCCTGTCTCACACAATCATGGCCAAATCATCATCATCTCTTCAACATGTGTCCGATCCATCCATGTTGATTCGTTTTATGTTGGCTAATAGGTTCTTAATTGGTTCGTTCTCAGAGTTCCTTGTTGCTGACTACCGTGTCTACCAGGAATCAAGTGTCTGAAGTTTTGTCCTTCACATAGAAGAGGCGAATTGTTTGCTTGCCAGTAACAGCTGTCGCCATCACTGTCTGGCTGAGGCGTTTCCCTGAGCCTGGTTGTAGAGGACTAATATTAGAGTTCACTAACATTCCAAATATAAAAGTAATAATCCAAGTCAGTGGAGTGTTAAATCACAATATATTACCAAAAATACAGTGACGAGTTATAGCAACAAAAAGGATTACTTGGATATAAAGTCTAAGTCCTCTGCTACAAATTATGTATATAATCCACGGGTACGTTAATTGATCGGGTTTCGTCTGCTGTAGCTGCTGTGTTCCGGTTGTAGAAATGTCTTCGGTTGAGAGTAATAGGCTCCTACAATAAATCCGAAGTATACAACACGGTGTGAGTGGAGCAAGTAAGCAGAAGTGACCAGGGAGAAGACGAAGTCTCCAACAGCAGAGTGTATTTTTCAATTGTCCCAGGAAGTTATGTATATTTCAACAAGAAGCGTTTTAAACAAAAATTATGTACAATATCTCGAATTTATACAAGTAACCAAAAAGTGTACAATCACATTGTTACGTACTCCACAACTTTCTGTATTCCTACTTGATTTACAACTTATTTTTCGTTTTAGTTTTGCGTCAATAGTTTTTGATTTCTGTTGTTACCAGATGCAGAAGCAGTTTGTACGCTTACCAAGACGTGTGCTTATCTGACAAATACTTGTGGATAACTGTTCACTGTTCAAAACTTAGTGTATACTGAGGACCTTGTGGAAATTCCTGGTAAAAATGTCCTGAATCCCTGTGTACTCTGCCAGCTGTTTGTGGTGTCGTAGTTCTTGTTTGGGACAGCATGCTAGGTAAAAATAGCTTTGTGTGCGCCAGTGGCATAGTGTTTAGGACACTCACCGACCATGTACATGGTCCCGGGTTCGATGCCCGGCCGACTCACACCTGATATCACTGTTTGGCGTTCTAAATTTGGGCCACAGATATAACATGCTGGAAATTCTATAGTTGTACCAAAAATACTGTGTGGAATCAAGCTATAATAAAAAAATGAAACGAAGTTGTATCAGTCTTAGTTCAGTAGTGTTTATTGAACCCTTGTACTTTTGTTTGAACTCACTCACCCATTCGTTTGGCCATTCTGCGTCTTTGGAGTGTTAACTCTGCCATTCAGATTAAGATAATAAGGATAGAAGGCTCTTGTGGCCTGTGTTAATCCTTGCAAAGTATATCTCTGCAGAGATCTAACTTCTCTTTGAAAGCGTTCACCGACGGAGCTGATACTACTGAATCAGGTAAGGAGTTCCAATCGTTGATCACTCTGTGAGAGAATCTAAATTCTGCACGTATTTTAATCGTCTTTGGTTTGAGCACCTTTTTGCGGTGACCCCGTAAATGTATCCTAGAAGGGGAGAAAAGGTTAGAAAGGTCAGTTCCTAAATCACCCTTAAGTATACGGTATGCTAAAATTAAGTCGCCTCTCTTCCTTCGGTATGATAACGGGAAGAGATTTAAATGCTCCATCCTCTTATCATAAGGGAGGCCATTCTGGTAAGGCTTCTTGTGACATGTCAAGCTAAGTCTCTAAAGCCATATATAATCCCTGATTGGCTTGACATTAAGTTTTAGAAATTCGCGTGCTTTGCCTTGGGGTGAGTATTGTAGATTCCCAAAGTTATTTCAGAGTGCTAGACGCGATTGTCTTGCTTTCCTCATCCGTACAACCAACTGTTAGTTGTTCCTCTGTCAAGGTCCTCAATTAATAAGCTTATGTTTATGAAAATATGCAATATTTACTAATATCCAGTATATCTAATATTATTTCCTTTAGTTCCTGGAGGAGCATAGGGCCTCAGCCGCGCGCCCCCATTGCGTTCGGTTATCTGCCAACGTTTTCACCCCGTTCCAAGTCTGCCCACACGCTTTCGTCCCCTCTTAACATGACTTCCTCCATGTCACCCTCACAATGACGACCAACTCGCCGCTTCCCTTTCGGGTTCCACTCGAGCTATGGCTTGTCTAGTGAAGTCACTTGAGGGTTTGTTTCCTCAGGGTATGGCCAATCCATCCCCATTTCTTCTCGACTATTTGTTGCACAATCGTTCCTGGTTTGTTAGCTCATTGCCAGAGATGCGTGTTGCTGATGTTTTCTAGCCGGACATATGATCTCGAGTAGAATTGAGCGAAGACAGCTGTGAATGAAGGCCTGTAGTTGGAGGTGCTCTTCGTGACCCGCCAAGTCTCTGATCCATAAAGTAGCACTGACTTCACATTGGCATTAAAAATCCGGGTCTTATTTTTGATGCAAAGTGCTGTTGACCTCCACACAGACTTGAGAGTAATGAAAGCTCGTTTTGATTTTCCGATTCTAGCTTTGATATCCTCGTCAGTCCCGTTCGCCTGTAGTTGAAACGATGCTTCCCAGGAATCATCACCTCTGTTTTCTCTATGTTTACCTGGAGGAAGTGCTATCTTTGATGCTTCTTCTATCGCTAACTTGTTGCTCTTCACTCGCATATCTTCCAGTTTGTGGGAAATCAGACATATATCATCGGTGAAGTCCAGATCCTCCAAGTTTTTTGTGTTAGTCCATTTTATGCCTGTTTTATCCTTGCCTGCTGTCTGCTGCATTATCCAATCTACTGCAATCAGGAGAATTATTGGCGATAGTAGGCAGCCTTGTTTTATTCCTGTTTTCACTTCGAAGAATTCCGTAAGTTTCCCGTTGTGGATTACATGGCATGCAGCATTGTTGTACAACTGTTGGATGAGATGTATAACTGTTGGCGGCACCCCTTGGTAGTAGCGAAGTAGTTGCCAAATCACCTCTGGATCGACGCTACGCTGCCGAAGGCCTTTTCAAAGTCGATGAAGTTCAGTGAGGTAAAGAGGTGACTGTCATTCCAAAGTGTGTTTAACGATGATACGTAGTGTGGCGATTTGTCCAATACATGACTTGTTTCTCCTGAATCCAGCCTGTTCCGGTCGAAGTGTTTCATCCAGAGCGGCGTGTTTTACTCTCTCTGCAGTATATATATATATATATATATATATATATATATATATATTACTTTTTCACTCATGTACTATTACATTTTGATTTCTTTATAGTGAATTAAAAATGGCCAAAACATCTTAACTAGTTAAAATGGAGATTGATTTAACTACTCAAGTTGCTGAAGCTGCAAATGTCGATCGAAATCTTGTCAGTCATGTTATCCCAATGTTTGAAGATGGTTATACTGTACCATTTATTGCACGTCATCGTAAAGAAATCACTGGTGATGTAGAACCAACAGTGTTGCATAGGCTGAAAGAAAAAATAAATGATCGCAAGTAAGTAACAATATGCATAAGGAAAACTATGTACTACTGATTGATTGAGATGAGTAATTTGTATACATATCACTCATACTATGAAACTGTTTTGTTCTTCGTTATTACTCCTTTGTCTCACACCTCTGCTCATTGTCTCTATTATGCTTTTCTTGTACTTTGTTCTCTTGCTTCGCGTGCTACACAGAGTGTGGCGACTTAAACTCGTACATTTGTGCAGAGTTCTATGTCGAAAACAGACAGACAGACATACTAAATAGTAGTGCTTGATAGTTCAGCAACGGCGTGTACCCAATTTGAGTCAGTTCAAACTACACCCGATTTCTGTCTGTAGCTGCTTGGACGTATAGGTGAAAGCATGACTAACTAATTTGTAGGTTATGAATTTCACTTTTGTAAATTTTAATTTTAAGTTTTGATTATACAGATCGATATCAGTATTAGAGAACCATTGTAAACCACCAGAGAGTACTGTGAACAGCCAGCTGTTGTTCCGCTTGAGTACTTGGACCTCTTCATCTGTACCCAGGAATCGAACTTGAGGAGCTTTAGGTTACGAGATAAGCTCACCGACCGAAACTTGACAATGAATCTTATGCTCACTACCAACTGACAACTATGGGACTACGTTGCCTGGAGTCCTGGTGGGAAGTCGTAACCAGCACGGGTTCTACCAAGTAGGGTGTGATGACATTAACTAACTGATATGTGTCCACATATATATTTATTTGTGTGTGTGTGTGTATGTTGGTCTCTCTTTCTGTTTGCTCGCTTAGTCTGTGACCATTTCACTTGTATGAACCTGTCTCCTTTAACAATGTATATTCCCCTTATATATATATTGAGTGTTTGTTGACAGTCCGTTGCTTAGTGACATATATCCATATATGGTGGTTGTTGACATGTCTGCTATATTTTGCTATATATATATTTCGTTCTCACAATTTGTGTGACTTACTGACTTACACTGACCACTTACTTTGGTGTGCGTCGGTGGCACAGTGGTTAGGACTCTCGCCGACCATGCATATGGTCCGGGATTCGAGTCCACGCCGACGCACACCTGATATCTATGGTCGGCCTGCGAAATTTGGGCTACCGATATCCATGCTGAAAATTCCATACTTGTACCAAAAATACAGTGTGGAATCAAGCTGTAATCAAAAATAAAAAAAAATATTGCTTCTCCTTGTGTTTGGAAAATAGAAGTATCGTCGTAAACCTAGTGGTCTTCTGATTTCCGCCTTCTTGCGTCAGGACTATTAGTTTCTCGACCAGTCCGTAACAATAATTTAGCGACGAGTACATAACACTAACGGTGGCCCTAAAAATTGCTATTTGATTCCATCCCAAATGCGTTGTAACGCGAAGGTTGTGGGTTCTCGAATCCCAATTAAGGTGGTCATGGGTCTTACGAGCATGGACGGAAGAACTATCTGTCTTGTACTCCTTGATGGTTTTCAAGGGTTCTTTAATCGTTATCAATGTTTAATAATAAAAAATCCGTACAAACTAACACTTAAAAGTTATACTTCTCTCCTTTACCTTTAGAATGTTGATTGACAAAATAGAAAAGTCGATGGAACTCTTCAATAAAAGTGGTCTACTTACCGATGAATTATCACAACAGTTAATGCGATGTAAAACCGCTGAAGATATAAAACTGCTAGTAAGTTTTATTTTTTACAATATAAATTTTAGTCGTACCAATTTATTTTCCCGGTTTTCAGTTTTTGTTTTGTTGTTTTCTTTTTTTGTAGACAGATCCATTGAAGCCTAAAGGTCCACGTACATTGGCTGGTAAAGCAAAAGCTGCCAACTTAGAGCCTATTGCTCTTGATATCCTCTATTCTTATAAATTTGTTGATATTTCCAGTCGAGCTTCTGCTGAAGCTAAAAGTAAGTGGATTTCAATGTATAATTCTGAGTCTTTTCACAAAGCTTTAATTATCAGTATTATTTCTATTCATTTGGCTTCTTAGTGGAAAATAAGGCTTCAACGACACATCCCGACTTCATCCTGTTCTCTTCAGTCCTCTTTAGCCGGCTGTAATCTTACCTGCGCTCTCTCATCGCCTCACACCATCTCCTCTATGTAACTCTCGGACTCATCCCCAACTCGTTGTTTGCCATTCGAGTTCTACTCATAGCTGTGCATGTTGCGCGATATCATTCGACGGTCTCCTCAGCGTATGATTAATCTGTCTCCTTTTTATTCTGTATATTTGTTGAGCGATAAATTCTTGATTGATTCGTCCCCAGAGTACCATGTTGCTTATTCTTTCTGACTGGTCACCTCATCATCAGTATAGAGCCAGCAAAAGCAGCTGTTGGTAAAAACGTTTCGTGACGCATTAAATTTCTCACCCAGAACTGACTTAACATTTGTGCTGAAAATTCAAAGCTTGTTCTTAATGATACTGAGTGAGTGAGTGCAGAAGATTTCCGAACTGATTTCATGGTGGTGAAGATCTTTCCTGCCCCTTTCCAATCCTGACTGGCTTTTTGATATACACCTCCTTGGCTGTCAGTATGTAATTGAGACGGTGCTTCCTAGATAAGGTGAGCAAAACAAGTGAGCTCTTTCTAATTTCTTACGTAGATAATGACTGGTGCCTCCAAAGCCTCAGGATGGTCGGGGGTGGGTGCCTTGCGCTGCGGGTTTGCCACCCCTCCGTACACATCTTGACATGCTCCAATATGACCGGGCGTCTTACATAACCTCTCCTGAGGAAGTCCTACTCACTGCCTTCACGTGGCGGAGGTGTTTTTCACTGAAGTGAGAGGGCAAAAGCGGATGCCCGGCGCTCTTCACCGGGTTGACTGTCCATTGGATTACAGTCTAGGGTAAATGGCTAAACCCTGACTCCAAACCTCCAACGACTGGTGTATGAAGCTCACTGACAGACGTATGGATAAAGGGCTTATTGGATGCCCTGGATGTCTGGCCCCATTCAAAAAGGCGTATGAACCGAACTCCGGTCACCGGCTGCCGATGGATGGTGGACTCCCTACTCCACTCCTACTGCCCTGTAGGTCACACTTGGTTGTGTAAAGGCTAGAGCTGCACTCTCAAACAAAAGGCCAAGCGATGCCGGGGACATCACTCGTACCTAATTCCCATGAAACTTCATGAACTCTGGCATCATATTGTCGCGCCTGGGCAGCGATGATTCGAGATGTTCATGAAGCCGGCTCATCCTCCCGTAGGAGATAGCCGAATTAAAGTAATTGCTGGTTGTTGGTTTTGTTGATTGGTTATCTGCATCACCTCCGTCTTCTCTCTATGCTCACTTGAAGTCCTGTGTTTGCACTGCTTTTTCAGCCAACTTGTTGGTTTCCACCTGCCTGTAAGTCTTCGAATTTATGTGACACATTAGACATGAATTGTCTGGAATTTCCAGATCTCCTAGAGTCTTATTGTCGGTCCAATGTATTACTGTCTTGTCGCCCCTCCCCCTTCTCACGGTGAGCCGCATAATCTACTCCAGCACAATTAGGAGTACCATTACTGATATTAGGGAGGTAGGTTTGTCTTACTTCTGTATTCACTTCAAACACCTCGCTGAGTTTCCCCTTGTGGATAGCTAGGCACGTTCCATTGTCATATAGCTAGATGACAACTGCTTAAAACCAGTCACATGTGACTTGTTTTGGTTTGACCACCACTAGCTCTTTTTCAACCCTACATTCTGTCAGCTAACATTGCCCGTTGTCGAGGAAGGCAACGGATGACTAGGCATAAATAACACATCTCCTAACCATATCAGTCGATGCAGATGCTTCACAATCACCTAGTCGATTGATTTCTTCACCTCACCTAGCCTAGCACTTGACCGATGTCTAACGTCAATAATACTCACTTTATTATACCACCACGTAACACGGGAGATAGGACGCAGACATGCATGATCAAACACAGCTAGCTGGCCTTATGATGCTTTCTACTCTCAATGGCCATGCCTCACAACCATAAAGGAGGACGAAGCAGATTGCTAAGCCTCACTTGTGCGCTTTTATGAATGGCTAGGCGGATATCGTTTCTACTAAGCCAGAGATGCTGTAAAGTGGTGTATACGAAACAAGGCTTCGGTATCGGTGCTGAGATTTCGTCAACGATCAACCCTCAAGCGCTGGCTAATGCAACTTCCTAAATAAGTGAAGTGGTCAACACGCTCAACAGCCACTTCACTTCCTATCTTTAAGCTAGAAGTCAATGTAGTCCAGTCCTGTAGCATCATCTTACATTTTGTGGGAGCGAATCGCATGTCAGACATTCGAAGATCACTGCCCTTCAAGGTGTTCAGAAGACTCAGCTCTCCATCATCATCTTCACCTAGAAGGAGGACTAAATCATCTGCATATTCGAAGTCAAAGAGATTATTCTCTGATTATAGCGGGTCAGTTCCTGAGTCGCTGAAGTCGGCGGTTAGAGTTAATTCCACTAATACATTTATGATGAAATTAAACCGAAATGTGGAGATTCGTGGGCATCTCTGAGGGACACCATTAGTTATCATCACTTCAGATGACAACTCCCCGTATTTTCTCATCTGGCTGTCTGTATGAGTGCGAGTAGAGTGCCTTCAGCAGTGAGTGAGATGTATTTTCTCGGTATTCGTTTCACAGTCAGGCATTGGTGTGTTGCCTCTCTGTCTACAGAACCGAATGGCGCTTTCAGGTCAAGAATTGTGATGATTGTTGGATTGGATATCGGTAATTATACGTATATTTCAGAATCTGTCGAAGGGTAAAGATGAGATCAATACACCCTCTTCGTGGTCTACAGGTTATAGAGCTATAGGTGAAGTGGATGAATAGGTAGGCTGAGGAAACAGTGAGAAGCTTCAATAGCAGCGGGGAATTAAAGGCGAATTAAGCTTTTCTTTTGAATATACAGTGGACAGAGTTGTTTCCTCTAATTGCCGTCACTTTCAACTGTGTATAAAAAACGAGTTTGAGCTGCAATAGAAGGATTCAGTGGAAGGTAATAAATAATTGTAAAAGGATTTATTGTGTCCTACTATTATCATACCATGTCAAGGTGAACTGGAAGCTCTTCGAAGGGATTGGTTGGGCAGTAGCTCTATTTTGCGAATTGAAAACAGGAGTTAGAATTGATTGGGTCATTGATTTCCGGGCTAATTGGACTTGTGACCTGAAGGTTCCGGGGGTCGCGCGTGCACACCATTGAAGAATTCCAGTAACTAGGATGAAATAACGGTGTTCAGTACTCCCCTTCCCTAGTCTTCAGTGATCCCTCTCTATAACTAATGTTAGTTCGTGACGGGAATTTAGCACTTGGAATTCATCGGAATCCCTCAAAAAAATAAACTCGTAATCTACATACGTACAGTTCTATTATATAATTACTGTGTTATTCTGCTAGTAGTTATACTGTTCTTTTTTGTGTGCTTATTATTGTAGAGGCATTCCAGTCGAAATCAGCACTTGAAGATGCTGTACGTCATATAATTGCTGATATATTTGCCAAAGATGTAGATATAATACAGAAAGCTGAAGAATTGTAAGTTCTTTTTTCATTATTTTTGTTTTGATCATATTTATTAAAATATTCTGAGAAAATATTTTTGAAATACTCATAGATTCTTTGATTGGACACTAGGTAGTTGGTATCTAGTGTTGTACGTGTCTAGTCCTTTGTTTGGTGAAGACTGAAGTTTACAATGTGGTCACCAAGAAGCCTAGGTTGTTCGTCATCATGGTTCACTCTGGATTGTTGTTATCTCAGGAGGGATATGAGTTTTCCTTCAAGATTGCAGGTACACCTTGTGGGCGGGTGCTAACAATCGTGAAACCTAGGTTCGACGATTCCTGCCGATTGCCTTCAACCATCTAATAACAACTACTATACTCATGGATTATTTATATAATTGCATCTTTTGTAATGGTTGGCTAGGTAACATTTTGAGCAAAATTACTGCCCGTGATCACACCAACTACTGGAATTGTTTCTTTTTAAAAGTTCCCAAATATGTGTAGTAATTTTGGTGGATGGTGACTAGCTCTGGTAGAATCCAAGATGCACATTTCGTCCTAACTGTGGAGCTTGTCATCTGGAGTTGCCTGCATCCTCCACAGTGAGTAAGCAATGGTTGTTCCCGCCAGTACCCTTCGTTTCAAGTAGCGAAGCGTTACCAGATCACATAAGCTATACGAGGCAGTCTGGTGGATAACGATTTGATGTTTGGAAAGATGGTTAGTGGGTTCGACTCCTCTTGGGAAAAGAATCACTCACGGGGTAATGTAGGTGCATCCAGATGACGAGTCTCACTGGTAGGACGAAATGTATATCCTTGGTCCCACCAGTGCTAGTCACCGTCCATCCACCGAACCACGTCAAGTTAGACTTCAGGCATCGTTGAAGTGTCTGTACTGCGAGCCGACGTAGTAACATTTTTGTTGAATCAAGGATAGGGAAAATAAAAAAATTGAACTAGAAACAAATAATGTGGTGATTTTATTTTACGATTGCATCGGTAGTTCAGGGATAGGAATAATCACCAGCCACGCTTCACGTAGTCTGGGATATGATCTCCGGTCGACTCACTGACTGTCAAGCCTCACCCAGCGGGTCTTAAGCTCGGTAAGGATGCTAGCAACTACACTCTGTAAAGAGAAAAACCAAAAAAAACACCAGTACTACTGAGATTTCAGAGCTCAAAGCTTGGGGCTGTCCACTCGGAGTGGACAGTTGCTCTGTGAGTGAGTCACCTTTGTTGTATTTGATCAAGATGCCATATCTCATGAATATAAATAATTTTATCGGTCCTATATTCCACATTTTTCTACACACTTTGGATTTGAAAAGTGCAAACACACTGTCCGAGTTTTTCATCTCATTCATGTTTTAAATTGTTGTGTATTTATGTTCCTCTGTAGGCTTGACCATTAGTTAAACGTTTATATTCATTCACATATTTTGTAGGCGATCTAGACATTTGACCTGCATAGTAAGTTGGGCATTCAAGTTTGTTTCATGTTTGACCACGGAGTGATATCACAGTTAGAAAAAATTACCAGCAACCAAGAAGTACTGGACAGCTGTTTCATCGTAGTTTGGGACTCTTCAATAGTATCCTAATCACCCTGGGGTCTAAATCCCCCAGATTATTGGATTTTGAAGTGCTGATGTTGTCCTAGTTTTTCCTCTCACTAGTGTTCAGTTTAGCAGCTAGAAAGTTGTACATGAACCATTTCTTTTTAATTTATTGTTCGTTTGTGTTCTTGTATAAGTTAATCTGTTTAAGATAAGAAATGTTTGTAGTGCTGACTGGTTTGATGCAGTGCTTTCCTTTCCTAAAATCAACGCTTACAGAAAACGGTTGCCTGGACCGACTGATGACAGAGACACAACAGATAAGCAACCCAAACTGGTTACTAAATCAGTTCCGAAGAAAAATACTTTCATGAATTCATGCAATTCAAAGGTTATTTGGCCTCAGATATACTTGAAAATCATCTTTCTAGATCATTTTGTAAACTGTTCTTTGAAAGGAAACAATAACTGACCTTAACCAGTCATAAATTGTTCTCCGTCTGTGTATCTATCAGTTCACATGCTGTTGTGGAACAAGGTAAATTAGCTGTAGCCAGAGGTTACTTTTCACACGGATAGAGGTAAACACTTTCCAGCATGGTTATACAAGGGTAGAAGGAAGGCTGTGAGAAACTCTTCCCTGGGATACGTGAATGACTTCTGTCATTCCGCCAACCGTGATAATGATTTTAAGATCACCCATGGAACTCTTGGAAAGTTGCCGCGTTTTCTTCGTTCCAAATGTCTAAAAGTAACTGTCCAGTACTTCTTGTTGGTTCTCTAAATGATATCAGTCCAAAGTCAAACTTTAGACAAATCAAATTCTTACTCCAGCTGTTGGTGTGATCACTGGTGGCAGTTTTGATCGAAGTATTACCAAAATCAAGGAAACAACAACTTGTAATTCTATGTAAACAACCACTGATATCTTCCACAATACACTTTTCACAGATATCATGAAATATACTCATTGTCTCTTGAGTTCCATTTCAGGTCTCTATAGACATATCCATATTAGAGACGGGTTCCAATAAATCTAAGTGAAATGCTTTTATTTTCATATTTTCGTAATCATTGTTCCGAATAGTTTACTGATTCCACACACAAAAGTGCATGTTCTAGACTGCAGACTCCAAAGGACTACTTCTTGTAGGTGGTCACACACAGTCTGTTTGGAATTGTGTCTGTACTAAAATCCTGTCATCATGGACAGACGACCGCAAGGTAAATATGAGATGTACAATTCTCTCGGTCTACCTATCCTGTCTGTCTGTCTGTCTGTCTGGATTCAACATAGAACTTGGCACCGAAGTGCAGCAGTTCGAGTTGCCACGTTCCAAATACCATACAAAGGTAGACAAGAAGATGAGTGAAGAGAATCAATAGAGTTTGACAAGTATAAGAGTGAAACAGAATGGGTAATGGTAGAAAGGAATATGAAAGATTACAGAGACTGAATACATCGGCGCTGTCATTGACAAGGATTTTGAGCCATGTCATCCATTGTCTCCAGCCATTGATTCCTAGATTCCCGAGGGCCCCAACCCAGGAGTCTGCATCTCCCTACCTGACTCAGTTTAACTGCCAAGGATTTCATGGATTGATGCCATGTTTTTGTTTGGCCACCACTTACTCTTTTCCAACCTGCACCTATATCAGCTAGTAATGCCCGTCGGGGGAGGCGATGGTTAGGCATGCGCAGAAAGTGACCTAGCCATCTCAACCCAGCCTGGTCGATTGATTTTCCCTGTTTGCTCAACACTCTACGCCTAACGTCAGCATTACTTACCTTATTAAGCCACCTAACGTGAGACAGAGATCGCAGACATCTATGATCGAAAGCAGTCAACCTTTTCATGTCTTCAACTCGTATTGGCCATGTTTCAGAGCCATAGAGAAGGATGGAGCGAACTTCTGAGCAGTACACACGTCCCTTGGTTGATAGCCGGATGTCACGCCTACACCAGAGATGGTGTAAGTCAGCGAAAGGAGCTCGAGCTTTTTGGATCCATGCTGAGATTTCGTCGCCAATCAGTCCGTTGGTACTGATACAACTTCTCAAATAGGTGAAGTGGTCAACATGTTCTGTCACTTCACTCCCTATCACTAAGTTAGGAGTTGACGTAGTCCATTCCTGTAGCAGCATCTTACATTTTGTAGGGGCGAATCGCATGCCAAACATACGAAGATTGCTGCTCAAGGTGTTCAGAAGACTCTACATTTTGTCAGCATCCTCCCCTAACAGGACTATGTCATCTGCATATTCTAATTCCATAAGACTATTCCCTGGTAACAAGTCGATTCCTAAGTCACTACGTTCAGTTAAGGATACTTCCATCAGGATATCTATGATGAAGTTAAACAGAAATGGGGAAAGTGGACATCCCTGTCGGACACCACTGGTTGTTACCAATTCAGATGACAATTCACCATAAGCCCTTACACGGTTACATGAGTTTGAATAGAGTGCCTTGATTAGTGCAATGTACTTTCTTGGCACTCCCTTCACAGTCAGACATTGCCATAGTACCTTTCGATCCACGGAGTCGAAGGTCGCCTTCAAGTCAAGAAATACGGCAATTGCTGGACGCCGAAAAGTGTGTCTATGTTCTAGAATCTGTCGGAGAGTGAAGATATGATCTATGCACCCTCTACCTGGCCTAAAGCCTGCTTGATTTTCCCTTGTCTGTTCCTCCTGAGTTCTGCTTAGTCTATGCATGATTACTGAGCCTAGGATTTTAGGGACTATGTTCGTTAGGCTATCCTATCCTAACCCCCCACTCCTCTCCAGAGCGGTGAGAGATAGGAACACATTACTGCTGTTGCATTTGCCTCTTCGACGGGAGTATGACTTTGCTCATGGATCCCCAACGTAGTGCAAACAACTTACACTATAGTGGCAAGTGCTTATAGTCCAGTCGCTATCTTCCTGGTATTGTAGAAATTACAGAAACCCTAGTTCCAGCCAGTGTAGCTCGTAAAGTCACTGTAATATACAGGCTCGACCACCACGTTTACCACCAGTCTCAAGTCCTTAGTTCTTTGTGTGTTGAGGACTGCAGTCCAGGAGTCTGCACCTCCCCTACGTGGTTCAAACCAACAGGGGAAGATGTGGACTGACTCCAACCGTTAATTTGACCATCCCTAACTCTTTTGTGACCCAATCCTATATTAACTAACACTGCTTCTTATGGTAGGTGTTGACTCGGCATGCGTAACACGTGCCTTAGCTATTTCAATCCATGTAGCTTCTGTAGGATTAGTTTTGCTTACAGATTTAGTCCGTCCTCAGTACTGACGACATAGTCTGAGCTTAACTATAGTTAAAAACAGAGTAACCTGACTTAAACTTTATCTGTTTCTAAAACATAAAATAAAGCGTACAATTACACCAAGAAAGGCACAAATCCATTGTAACTCAAGAGAGGACAAAAACATACCGAACAGTACTGAAGGAACAGACAAAATGAACAGTTAATTAGTTACATATGCACACCATAGAGTGACAGGAAATAAACAACATTCAAGGTTACATCACGTGGTAAGAGTTACATTAAGTTAGCCAATCATCGCGACAAAGGGTCACATATATCGATTAGCTGTCCGTCAATCTGTCTATCTATCTGTCGGGATTAACAGCTTCTAGCCTCAACGTTACTCTTAACTTGTTTTACCACTAAACTCATGAGATAGGGTGCAAACAGACTGTAGTGAAAATCACTCAAAATTTTCGTATCTTTCACCTTCATTGACCATTTCTAACAGCCATCAAGAACAGTGAAAACTGATATGGAGTACAGACGTTGTTTGGTGAATAGCTGGATAACACGCCTACGCGGGAGGTGACGTGAGTTGGCTGATACTACCCGAACTCTTTTTATCTGTGCTGAGATTTCGTCAGAAATCAGTCCATTATGGCTGATACAACTTCCCAAATAAGTGAAGTGGTCAACACGCTCAACAACCACTTGACTCCCTATTTCTAAGCTAGGAGTCAATGTAGTCCAGTTCTGTAGCATCATCTTCCATTTGACATGAGAGAACCGCATGTCAAATATTCGAAGATTGCTGCTCTTCATGGTGTTCAGAAGACTGCTTTCCGTTAGCAGTAGAAGGGCGGGGACTATATCATCTGCATATTCTAAGCCGACGAGACTATCCCCTCGTAAAAAGTCACTAAAGCCAATCAGTCAATTCCATTAGTAATTCTATAATACAATTGATTAGAAACAGGGTCAGTAGGCATCTCTGACGGACACCACTGGTCCTCATCACTTACATCATCTTACACGGCTGAGTGAGTTCAAGTACAATGTGTTTGCTAAGTGTGTTATACATTCTTGGAACGGCACTTTTCGGTCGATAGAGTTCAAATACTACCCTCAGGTGAAGAAATATAGACGCCAGTAATTAGTATACCTATACTTCAGTATCTATTGACTGTTGAAAATATCATCTTCCTAGTCCAAGAGCTTGATTGATTGATTTTCCCGCAGTTTTTTTTCTCCCGAGCACCGTTTACTTTTTATGATTGAAAACATGAACCTGGTACACACTGTGTGCAGCATGAGATGTCCCCTCAGATCCTTTGTCTTGAAGTCTTATCCACAAGGGAGTGGAGCACAAAGTTTCTGTGGTCACTAAAACACGTTCCTACACCATCCAGTCCTTTTAGATTCTAGAGTCCTTGTACACAGTATAGGTTTAGAATCAGGGTTTTCCACCCCCCCCACCCACGTCCCTCGAGGTTGACCCTTGTATATCCGATAACCAGTCCAGTTGTAAGCACCAGAGTTTTACTTAGGCCCTTTCATTTTTGTGAAGCACACCTACTGTGGCGCGTGGAGGCCAGTTAAGGGGATTTGCCCGTCAGAAGTTATGAGTACATCCGCGCATGACAGCATTCCGATAGGTAGTTTATAGTGGCAGGTCGTTTATTAGGGCTTGCCATTATCCACTCAGTCACGTGAGCACCACTTAGTCGAAACCATGTATTATGCGTCAGTGGCACAGTGGTTAGGACTCTCGCCGACCATGCAGATGTTCCGAGGTTCAATCTCCTGCCGACGCTCACCTGATATCTATGATCGGCCTGCAAAATTTAGGCTACCGATATCCATGCTGAAAATTCCATAATTGTACCAAAAATACAGTGTGGAATCAAGCTGTAATCAAAAATATAAAATAGTAAAATAAAATATTTCATATTGAGTTAGTGTGTGTGTCTGTATATGTGAGTGAGTTCAATCCTTTTCCTTTTATCCTGTACTATTCATTTCCGTGTATACATTTTCTATCACCAGATGTTCAAGGTATCCTGCAACACTTATAACCTCACAAAAGTTGAAACGTAATAAACAAGCACCTGGTAAATCATCCTCTTATCCACAGCCTATGCTTATTGATACAGACGGGGAGAATAATATTAATAATAACAACAAGGATTTTATTGACGGTGATGATGATGAGTGTTCATTAAATGGTCAAAATTCATCAATGAATCCTAACAATAATAATAATAATCATAAACCTAAAGATGATTTAATTACATTTAAAAATTATCTAAATATTTCTCGTTCAGTCTCATCTATTTTAGCACATCAAGTGAGTTGTGAGTAAATAACTTTCCTTATGCCCCCTTTGCATAACCCATCACACCTATTATTATGTATTATGTATTATTATTATTACTACTGCTACTACTACTACTATTCTCTTGGGCTCCAAGTGGAACATATAGCTTCAAAAGCACGTGTTGCTGATTTTGTCGTGTTCTGTGTAGGCCACTTTAACTGTCTCCACGATTGTCGATAAGCTTTCATCCCCCTGTCTCACACAATCATGGCCAAATCATCATCATCTCTTCAACATGTGTCCGATCCATCCATGTTGATTCGTTTTATGTTGACTAATAGGTTCTTAATTGGTTCGTTCTCAGAGTTCCTTGTTGCCGACTAACTGATTCTGGTTTCACCACGGAAACTTGCATAGATGTGCAGCAGTTCAGCTGGTCAAACTCTCCATCTAGCACACAAAGCAAGAGAAGGAGAATACACAGAGATAATAAACAGAAGTGTGAGGGAAAAGGAATAAACATACGGAATAGCAGTAGAGAGTGATAGCATCTGTGTTAGTCGTCGATAACGATTTTGAGCCGTGTCACCAATTACCTAAAGCTTTTATTGGTTCATACCATCCTGAGGACTTCCTTATATAACTGACTGGCATAAACTAACTGTTGTGGATTTGATTGACTGATGAAGTCATGTTTTGGTTTGACCACCACTAACTAGCTGGCTAGCTAGCTCTTTTCCCACCTCACCGATCCTACGTCAGCTAAAGTTGCCCGTTGTTGAGGAAGGCGATGGATGACTAGGCATGCATGCATGCGTAACACATGTTTCAACCATTTTGAATCAGTGTAACTTCACAACCTCGCTGTTCCTTGATGCTAATCCTTTCTCACCGGCCGTCTGGTCTTCAGTATGGAGCTAAAGGAACAGTTATTGATGAAAGTCTGAACCAGTGTGATAGAAATGATTTTTGTGATTTTGCGTGCGTCAAGTTTCTGATCCGCTATGGGAAGAGCTGACTCACTTAATGCGCTTGGTGTTGAAGATCTGAATTTTATTTTTGATGCTAGTGGTAAATGAAGATTTCCAGATTGACTTCAGGGCTGTGAAGGTGTACCCCGCCTTTCCAATTCTGGTTTTTGGCATCATGCTTAACGCCCACCTGTAGAATTGAAAGGGTGTGTTGTCCTAGTTGGTTAGGTATGCTCATCATCTCTGTTTTCTCTATGTCCACTTGAAGTCCTGTTTTTGCTGCTTCTTCTGTCTACAGAGTTAGAAATCATTAAACCCATTGAGTGTATATACCTCACTAGGCTCTGTAGGACAGGAATCTGTGACTTGTCGTTTCGAGATGTAGTTTATTGGTTTATGGCTTTCAGCTTAAAGCTATTACATCCTGGGTACTAGCCTCACCTGAATCATTGAGTCAGTGTCATTGGGCCTCACACCTTGCATGTGATGACTCATAGCTTTCTACATGGAATTAATCTATTAGGAGTCACTGGTTTTAAACAGCAACAACAATAACAACACCAAGAGCGCTCAGTAGTTGGAAATTGAGCGCTGTATCCATACGTTTGTTTGACTTCTATAATCGGAATATCAGTGTAGTGCCTTGTTGCTTCTCTAGGGGGTCTGTTTCTTGCATCCTTTTCTGTTTGAATTTCCTTTAATCTTCTTTTTATTATGTTTGAAAGTGATCGGTTGCTAATCAGACTAATATTTATACAGTTCAAATGTAGCTAGAGAGAGAGAGAGAAGGGGGCGGAGGTCGTCCCTAAGGTCAGTGATCAGCCCAATGAATTATCCTGCTTTAAGAATTGTAGTAGTAGCATAAATTCCACTAGGACTATTAGCTTCTAAGAGGATTAATTTAAACCCCAGTGGGTGCATACTGATGAAGAGTCCCAAACTAGAATGAAAGAATTGTCCGGTACTCCCGGTTGGTTTTCAATGGTTCCCTTACCGATGTCAGCTCACGATATGAAATTCTGTAATCAATCAACCAAATCCCTACAAACCAATACTTGAATACCGTTGAGACGCTCACCGGTGACTGTCCCTATTCAGGTAGGTAGTTGTGACCAGTAGGGTGCATCAGGTCTGATATGAGGACAAATACTCGCCAGCAATGACATTGATTAGCGGTTGCGCTATGTCGTGAATTGGTAGAAGTTGGAATTCGTGGGCTGACCATTGGATTGGGTCCCAGTGGCTTAATGATCTACGAGCCCAGTAGCATTGTAACCAGAAGGTCCTGGGTTCGAACCCCTTGTGGTGGGTGCACACTGATGAAGAGTCCCAGACTAGGATGAAACAGCTATCCAGTACTCCCGGTTGGTTTTCTAATGCCTCTCTAACCGATGTCAGCTGACGATATGAAATATGGGGGGGGGAAGGAATAGTATAATGGAAAAACAGTCGGGAGATATATCACAAGGAGTGAATTCATCTGCGCCATCGATGAGGACGGTTTTGAGCCATATCATCGATATTCCCCAGCCATTGATTCTTAGAATCCTGAGGATCCAAGCCAAGCAGTCTACGCCTCTCCACACGTGGCTCAGAATCAGACTAACTGAAGTCAGTTCGTGGTCAGTACTTTGTATCAGTTAGTAAGCAATCGTAACACTTGCACTTACTCTTCGTACTAAACTATTCGGTCTTGTTTTGCTCCCAATTCCATCACTATTTTTTTCAGGTGTTAGCTATTAATCGTGCAAGTGAAAGAGGCGTAATCACTGTAAAGGTTAATTTATCCGCTCAAGTCCAACAACAATGTAGAACATTTGTATTTCAGAAATACCTATCCACTGTGAATCGTGGTCATTGGGATTATGTTATGCAAGCGTTTGATGATGCATGGAAACGTTTGATTGATCCACATTTAGTGCGTAGTATTCGGTAAGAAGATGGCGTAGTTTTATACTACTAAATAATATTTATTAATTTGACTTTTTTTCGCTTAAATCCGCGTTTTATTCTTATTTTTGAAGTTTTATGTTGTTTTCTTTTTACCACTGGAGTATGAGAAAGAGAGAGAGGGAGAGATTGTACAGGCTATTTGTGATGTTGGTCACCTGTTTGGTGACAAGGGAGCCATGATCCTCCATTTCGCTGAGTCAATAGAATCGTCAACATGCTTCAGTTGTCCATCTTAATTTCACCCCGCTGTTGTACCTAAAACTGATTAACTAAAGTAACCACCTGATTGGTAGAGAATGTTGATGTGAAAGACGGCTGTATATATATATATATATATATATATATATATATATAAACCGTTAATGCCCTGCCCTTGCTACGCTGGGCCTCACGCTGTCCCTCGAAGATTTTAGAACACAGATTGGTAACTCGAGAATTCTTTATTCTAACACCAACATGTAACCAGCATTACTGGTATTACAGACTAAGGTCTAAGAACAAATATTACAACAATAAGTCACGATATTACTTCTGACAGTCTTTTCTGGCTTCTTTCTGAACAGTGACCGATGAGACGATCACTGGCAGATTGATCACCGGCGAAAATTATGTGGAAGTTGGGTTTGAGCAAACAACCAGGAATTGATCGTTCAATCTTCAACTACATTGCCTATATATATACATCAATGTAGAGCCAGAAAGCCAATGATGAGAATCTAATTGAAAAGGAACTCATGCTTCTTCTTACAATCAGTTTTTTCTAAAGATAATTTAGTTGTGCTTTGAAGTATTCACAGCAGTTGAATTGGTTTTCCAGGGTAGGTCTTTAAGTTATACACCCGACCTCCCCTACTTACCTGACGTTTAGGACCGGCTAGATAACTAGCGAAGTAGAAAAATAGGCGTAGCAACTTCCCACCAGGACTCCAGGCAACGTTGTCCCATAGTTGTCAGTTGGTAGTGAGCATAAGATTCATTCTCAAGTGTTGGTCAGTGAGCTTATCTCGTAACCTAAAGTTCCTTAAGTTCGATTTCTGCGTACAAGATGAAGAGGCCCAAGTACTCAAGCGGAACAACAGCTGGCTGTTCACAGTACTCTCTGGTGGTGTACAATGGTTCTCAAAACTAAAAGTTATCACCTGTTGGTCAAATAACCATAACCAGAAATCGGGTGAAGTTTGAACTGACTCAAATTGGGTACACGTCGTTGATGAGCTAGCAAGCATTACTATTTAGTTTGAGTGATATGTATACAAATTACTCATCTTAATCAATCAGTAGTATATAGTTTTCCTTATGCATATTGTTACTTACTTGCAATCATTCATTTTTTTCTTTCAGCCTATGCAACACTGTTGGCTCTACACCACCTGTGATTTCTTTACGGTAACGTGCAATAAACGGTATAGTATAACCATCTTCAAACATTGGTATAACACGACTGACAAGATTTTGATCAATATTTGCAGCTTTAGTAGTTAAATCAGTCTCTATTTTAACTGGTAAAGATGGTTTGGCCATTTTTAATTCACTATAAAGAAATCAAAATATAATAGTGTGGTAAGAGCAGGCTAGCCAAAACTGGGTAGACCGCATTTTACGTCAATGGGTATGTCGCAAATATTGGTGGTGAGAAAATATGAACAAGATTGATTCAACAACCAATCACAGCAGACTTGGCGTATAGATTATCTGACATTCAAAAAACAGTCACAAAGAGATGCAAAGTCAACTTTCTGTAAGAAACAACCAATCAGAAGACTATGTTTGTCTGCTTGAATAAGCTATAATAATGTACATGAAATCTATATAAATACGTGTTGATTTTCTTAATAAACGATCTGTTGCCTGGCTCTTGTCTTTTGTCGTTATATATATATATATATATATATATAAGTAAAATTAAAATTAACCAGAGTAATTTGTCAACGTTTACGATATAAAGCCAAAAATATTCGAAGCACGAATTGAGAATATTAAAAATAATAATAACAGTGAGTTTGTTTAAACAGTATTGTCGATTCATTTTGGAAATTTTAGCATGTTATGGATTATTGAATCTAATGTTCTGCTGATATAGCAGTTTAGTGAGGGGAGATAAAAAATTAACAGTTTTAACACAGCCTAAATTATGTTCACGCCTATGAAAAATAAACAAATAAAAACGAAAATTGAGAGGATTATAAATATAAAAAATACAATAACAATAAAGTTTGATGTTGTAAGGGTGGAGGAAATGGTTTATTTAGTAGTGCAAAGAAGGTTAGTTAGTTCATGCCTAACATTATTTTCATCACAGTAAGTACGTTCGGAATATGGTAGAGGAGAATTTTTATACTTAGATGTAGGTGCATAAAGGTGAAAGCTGCGGGTAAAGTGTGGGATGCTCACAGTCTGATAAAATTCCTTTAGCAAATTTGTTGCATGCACATCAAGTGGCTATCACTGACAATGTCAACGATATGGCTCAGCGGGATACTACTCGCCTTACTGACTGACAGTCTTCAGAGTTCTACAAAGTATGACATAATTTTTTTTATGCAATCGAAGAAAGAATAAACATGGGTGAACAGTAAAGAAGAATAGGTAAAATACACGAGTTGACAAACTGTAAGAGGAGAAGTGGTTGGCTTATGCCCTGAGTGCCTCAACTTTTTAATATAAAAAGTCAGACGAAATATTCTTTTAGAAATCTCTAAGACATGGTAAGACCGGGATAGGTTAGAAGAAAGAATTAATCCAAGATACTTAACAACTTCAGACTTGGTTTTTATATCAGTATCATCAATTTTGCATGGGGCATATTAACAAACGTCTTCATTTAACTTTCGTTTATACATATACAGTGTCAAAATAAGTTCAACAATTATCTTTCCCCCTCCTTTGAGGTGAAAACGGGAAATTATCTGCTGCAGTGCGAACTTCAAACTTTATCAAAAGCATAATTTGGAATGATCTCATTACTAATAGAACTACTATAGAATAACAAACACTTGCGTTGGTAACTGAATATGATCATCTAGAGATAAGCGTGTTTCGAAGCAAGTGACGGATAGCTACAAGCTTTCCAGGATACATCATCAAATAAAAGGGGGAATGTTTTAGGCATGCCTCCAGATCCAGTGATGAAAACTAATAAAAAAAACTTATATTTTCATATGAACAGTTAAATTTATAGGAAGTTGGCTGGTTATGATATTTGGACGACTTTGAGCTGGTTCACGCTCGGCTGCAACTGGAAATAACTCTCACGACTGCAGTATGTCCATCGTCTTTATCCGACCTGAGCTTTTGCTGCATTACCTGCGGACTTTTTAGTCTAGTCCACCAAACCCGGATGCCGGGCTCTTCTTATTACCGCCACAACTGGCGAAGGCAGAAAATAGCTGCAACGGCTGCTCAGAGGTGTAGTTATTAGCGATTGTGGGTGGAGATACGAAGTTACACCACAAGGCCGCCGACATGTTCTTGTCCCTTGGAACTTATACTGATCACCATGTATTTGAGTTCGCCGGAAAAAACGAAATGGCTGCTGACAGTAGAAATTCTGGTTGAGGATTATTAAGGAAAATGGAACCATTAATTTGGTGAAACATCTATCACATAAGTAACAGAACTGAGATAGATGTAAATGACTTAGTTTACGACTGGAGTATCTTCTCTGTACCACTCTGCCAACAGTGTTTGTTATCCCTTAGATATCAGCTACAGTGGAAATGAAATGTATTTTTCTAAGTTCCATTTGAACCCACCGATCTTCTCATATGATCTAATTTCAGAGGCAATTTAGTTACAAATGCTTGGTTTGTGACTGGCAACTTTGAGGAGGTAGTCGTTGTTGTGTTATTTGTATGATCTATTTTTAGCCCGTGTTATGGATGAGCTACTTCTACTACAATGACTTCTAATAGTTTGAGGAGAAGAAACAAGTGGCACTTTGCTCTCAGTAACCACAAGTGTCCCAGTATCAGCCGTGTAAACCGGTCAACATATTCCGCTTTCTGGTCTAAACTTACTATGCATTTCGTGAAAAATCTCTGAACATTTTCTACTTTCTTCCAATTTGCTGACTTTGAGTTACTGTATATTAGAGAGCACAATATTCAAGTCCGGGACAAATATATGTCCAATATATATTACCAATCCTGCTTCTCAGGTATACACACAACGAAACTAATAGGTCGATAACAATCGGAAAATAGATATGAATAAGTTATCCCAAGATCTGTAACTATGTTCAGATTTTAGGGAAGGTTACCATATATAAACTGATACACACACTTGGTTTCTAACGTTCAAAGTAGGCTGTAGCGCACTTATCTGGATTGCGAATCAGTTGTCAATCTTCACTCCCATCAGACAGACCTATTAAGTAAAGTTTTGAATCTCCTATCCGCCCTCGTGTCGCCATGTGCTATATCATACACGATTGGCTTCAATTGCATATCTCCGGTGATTGTAGCGTCAATGTCCGCTGCTATGTTACTGCAGTAACAAGTTATTTTTTTTAATGTGCTTTTAAATGAAATTTTGCATTAAAAACTTTTCAGACGTCCATATAATACCGTTGGCTTTACGTACTTGAACTGCGTAACATTTGCTGCACTTTTATCAAGAAATGTCGCTTGATACTGATACCTACGCAATGCGACGGATTAAGTAAGGCAGGAAGTTCAAAATCTAAACGTTTACCTTTGAATTTTCATGGAATCCTACTGGTATACTTTAAGGCACTCTACTCATACTCATACAGCCAGGTGAGGGATTACGGCGAGTTGTCATCTGAACTGGTGACAACTAGTGGTGTCCGTCAAGGATTCCCATTATCCCCTTTTCTATTCAACTTCATCATGGATGTGTTAATGGACTTAACCCTAAGTGACTTCAGCGACTCAGGGATTGACTTGCTACCAGGGAATAATCTCGTTGACTTAGAATATGCAGACGATATAGTCCTTCTAGGAGAAGACGCTGACGAAATGCAGAGTCTTCTAAACACCTTGAGCCGCAATCTACGAATGTTTGGCATGCGATTCGCTCCCGCCAAATGCAAGATGATGTTACAGGACTGGACTATAGCGACGCCTAGATTATAAGTAGGGAGTGAAGTGGTAGAGCATGTTGACCGCTTCACTTATTTGGGAAGTACCATCAGCCAACGCCAACGGGTTGATCTCTGACGAAATCTCAGCACGAATACAGGGGGCTCTTTTCGCATTCGCCAGTTTACGCCGGCTCTGGCGTAGACGAGATGTTCGACTATCGACCAAAGGGCGGGTGTACTGCTCATCAGCCCGCTCCGTCCTCCTTTATGGTTGTGAGACCTGGCCACTGAGAGTGGAAGACATGAAAAGACTAGCCGTCTTTGATCATAGGTGCCTGCGCTCTATCTCCTGTGTGAAGTGGCATAATAAGGTGAGCAACATTGAGGTTAGGCGTAGAGTTCTAGTTAAACAGGGGAAATCAATTGACGAAGTCGTGAAGCTACAAAGACTGAGATGGTTAGGACATGTGTTACGTATGCCAAGCCATCGCCTCCCTCGACGAGCAATGTTAGCAGATATAGGGTCAGTCTGGAAAAGAGCTAGTGGAGGTCAAACAAAAACATGGCACCAGTCAATGAAATCTACAACAGTTAGTCTAAGCCATGTAGAAAGATGTTGACTTCCAGGTTGGGGTCCTCGGGACGGTAAAAACAAATGGTTGGAAACAATTGGTGGCATGGCTCAAAATCGTTCTCAGTGGCGCTGGCGCAGATGCATCCAATCCTTGTGACTCATGATCTCCAATGAAACTGTTTTGTTCTTCGTTATTACTCTTTCTTTGTCTCACCCCTCTGCTCACTGTCTCTATTTTGTTTTTGTTGTACTTTCTTCTCTTACTTCGTGTGCTACACGGAGTGTGGCGACTTGAACTGGTGCACATTTGTGGAAAGTTCTATGTCGAAAACAGACAGACATATTTTTATTGAGACACTATTCTCTTAATTGATTTGGTTGTTGTTGTTGGTATTCGTAGCTCATTTTCAGCATTAACTTTAGTTTTAATTTAATCATCACAGCCTGCATTTCATATAAGGACAAGAGCATTAGCACCCTAATAATAATATGTAGCATCGTTGTGAACTTGTGTTTCAGGTGGTCTTTATTTTGAGGGGAGATTTAATTGCTACACTATTCCGTTTTCATAGAAATAACTTAGGCTCATAAGTGAAAGAAACTTATTATCTTAGCTGGAGTAAGGACAGGTTGTTCAGAATGTAAGGAAGACTTTATTCTTCAGTTTTTCCATTTCAATGTTATGAGTTAATTTGTGAATTGTTCTTGTTGTATCGAGCAATCGTTCTGTCGCCATTTCCTTTTCGTTATTCATTCTTGATTAACAATAAGTTGTAATGTGACGGTTGTGAACGCGTCCTCTGCTAGGAAGGTAATAAACCGGCTGAAGTGATGATGCCATCTGATGTAACGGTTCTTAAGACACATGCACACACTACTTGCCCTATTGTGTATATTGATCTTAAGAAGGCATTCGATAAAGTATGTCATAATTTACTCCTGAAAAAACTGAAGGCTTACGGTACATCTGGCAATCTCTTACACTGGTGTAATTCATTTATGCGTGGACGGTCCCAGTCTGTTAAGATTAACGACACTTTCCAGTACGACTCCTATATCAAGTGGCGTAATTCAAGGTAGTGTACTAGGACGTCTATTCTTTCTTATATACCTAAATGGCGTCTGTGATGTTATAAAGCATGGCAGACCCTTCTTATATGCTGATGACTTGAGAGTGGTCTTCTACAGCACCACCCAAGAAGTGACAAATCCTTCTCATAAAATCCAATCGGAT